CTATACAAGAGATACTAGTAGTGCATAGCTTATATTGTTTCTTATTTTTATTGTGTTTTGCTTGCCTTTTACTATGTATATATGTTTTGCTTTTTGTGTTAACATTTTTTTTATTTATTGTGTATAGTAAATTATTTAAAAAAAAACATATCAAAAAATAAAAATAATCCATACTTTTTTGTGCGTAGTGTTACATTTATTTAGAGATCGATCGATATATATATATATATATGTGTGTTAACATATTTTTAATATAGTGCGTATAGTTAATTGTTCTTATATATATGTATATACTTCAATGTTTTTTGTTGTTGTTGATTTTCTTAGTTCTAGTGCTTGTACATATTGTCTATCATATATATAGAATATTATGTTTTTACTTTCTTAGTATGGATTATTTTTTGTAATTCATTTATCTTTTTTTACCCTCATTTTTATATTTAAAAAAGCCTAAAAAATATCATTTTTAAAACGCGTATGGATTAATTATTATACACTTTCCATTTCGGAACTTTGGCTTTTTTCCAAAACATTAATTATGGCTCTTTGTATGGGTGGCCTCCATGTGGCAAGAACTGGGCAACGTTATTTAAACATATACGTTCGAACGTGTCTTACAACGTGTCTGTTTAAATAACGGCTAACAACCCTTTTCCTATCGGTTAAATCTTTTGCACGTACTACTATTTTACTAAAATATGATTCAGAGTATCTCTGAGTCTTTTATTAGTCCATTTGGATCGCAATTTGGGTCCATTTGGGTCGCCATTTGGGTCACATTTGGGTCCATTTGGGTGAATCGACGCACGCCTAGACAGGTACTATAAAAAATGACGTCTGCGCATGCCCAGCGGGAAACATCGATCTTTATTCTACAGAGAAAATTATTGCGAAAGTTAATGAATTGTGCACCCAACAGCTGCAAGATGCATCACATCAATGAATTATTACAGTCAACGTAACATTTGACCAACAATGCTACAACATTATTTCCACCGATAATAATTTTAATATCACCAGTGTAAGATCCAAAAATACAGGAGTGGTTAACTCCCGAAAGGTTCCGAGTACAGGTAGTAAACAAACAATATTGTTCCTGCTTGATGTCAAAAACTGATTACCAAAAACCCAACAAAATGTCCCAAAGTGTGTATATTTTCCCATGTATTGTTGCATACCTGATCTTGTCAACGTGCTCAGTGTATCACAGAGATTCACCCCAAAGTAACAGTTTATAATGCAGTGATATCTTAACACTAGAGCTAGCAGATAAGTGCCCTAATAACTCTGATCATTCTGTTTACCATCAAGCCATATTAGTGGCACATTAACGACCAAAACTTATAAGTCAATGTCTGAAAACTAGCAAACACCATCACCTATTGTACCTTAGCTTTATTATACTTCTACAAGCAGCAGATTGTGAATTAAACCCAGGTCCTAGAACTCCGCTGGAATCAACAGGCAATACCATGTGACAGTTGTGAATGTTGGTACCATATTAAATGCATAGACATGGGTAGCCACATGTACCAAGCTTTTGCAAAGCCAGACGTTTCATGGATTTGCTGTCAGTGCGGCCATCCAAATTTTAGTACTTCTTTTTTTGAGTCTACAGACATATCTACTTCTAATTTCTATGACTTATTATCTGACACTTCTATTTCCTCAGTGAATAGCGACATAGGCGAACCTGTCAGTACATCATCACCAAAATGTCACCATAGTCATAATACACCAAAAGCTAAAGCAGAGCCAATGAAAATACTTACAATTAATTTTCAAAGTAAAAAGGCCAAACGTGCATGAGGTATTCTGGAATCTTCTGGATTCATGCCAACCAGACATTGTTTTGGGATGCGAGACTTCGTTAAAGCCAAATATTACAAACCAAGAAATAGTCCCAACCTGATATGAAGTATACCGAAAAGACAGAGCAGATGGATATGGTGGGGTACTAATAGCTGTTAAGTCAAATTACATAAGTAGTCAAGTGGATATTGACTTCAACAGTGAGCTTGTGGCTGTTCAAATTGAAGGGACAGACAAATCATTCATTGTGTGGTTGCTTCATTATATCGACAACCTAACAGAGACTACTCCCATACTCAAACAATCTGCAGTGACATCAGACGGATTACAGAGTTATACAAATCCTCAACAATATGGATAGGTGGAGACGCAAACCTACCAGATATTAACTGGTTAAATGACACCATTACTAGTAACAAATATCCAAAGGATATCAATGAGCATTTCATTGCCACAAAACAAGACACAGGACTCATCAAATTATTAACTTTCCAACCAGAGACGAAGTAACTAGAAATTTTTCTAACAAATCGTCCTAACCTAGTTCACAGGTGTGTAGGCATACCAGGTATAAGCGACCATGAAACAATCGCATATATAGAAACCCTCAGCAAAGCCAAATATCAGAAACCAGCCAGAAGGAAGATATACATCTGGAAGAATGCAGATATCTCAAACCTCCGTACAGCCATGAGACAGTTTGCAGAGGAATTCCATATAAAGCATTCTTAAAATACTGACGTAAACATCCTATGGAACAACTTCACAGAAAAGTGTGCCACCTTAATGGAGAAACATGTACCATCAAAAGTCACTAGTGAAAGATTTAACCAGGTGTGGATCAACCGGAAAGTGAAAAGACTATCAAAAAAGAAAAAGCGGTGTTACAACAAAGCCAAGAGAAGTGGAAAACAACAAGACTGGGATAACTTCAAGGAAATTAAGAAAGAAACTCAGAAGAAATGTAGAGAAACATACAACTCATACATCGCCAACATGCTTAGTGAGGATAATGCCAGCAATCCAAAAAGGTTTTGGGGATTCATCAAAAGCAAGAGAATGGAAACATCCGGAGTGGCGCCATTACGTAGAGGGAATACTTCATAGTGACACCATGACCAAAGCCAATATTTTGAACGAACAGTTTACTTCAGTATTTACGCAAGAAGATATCTCCAACTTACCTGAGAAATCCAACAGCCCTTATTCACCTGTTCCAGACATCGCAGTTCACCAGGCTGGTGTCCTAAATCTCCTACAGAACATCAACCCACACAAGGCTACCGGTCCAGACAACATCCCAGGGAAGTTGCTGAAAGAACTAGCAAACGAAGTATCACCCATAATTACCACCATATTCAATGGTTCGATACATCAAGGAAAGATACCTGATCAATGGAAAGAGGCCCTCATAACTCCATTATTCAAAAAAGGAGACAGAGGAAAGGCTTCAAACTATAGACCAGTCTCCCTAACATCTATTTGTTGTAAATTAATGGAGCATATATTACACAGCAATATCATCTCACACCTTGAAGCAAATGGAATATTATCGGATTACCAACATGGATTCCGCAAACAAAGATCTTGTGAATCCCAGCTCATCATAACACCCCAAGAGCTAGCCGATGGATTGAGAAGTGGGGACCAAATGGACTGTGTCCTTCTTGATTTCTCCAAAGCATTTGATAAGGTGCCCCATCAAAGACTCCTGAGCAAGTGCTACTTTTACGGTATAAGAGGCAGGACATTAGAGTGGATCAACAGTTTTCTTAATGGTCGTACTCAGAAGGTCGTCTTAGAAGGGAAATCATCAAGAACATCAAACGTAACATCAGGGGTCCCACAGGGAACAGTGCTTGGCCCACTTCTCTTCCTAATCTACAACAACGATCTTCCAGAAAGAGTAACATCAACAGCCCGTCTTTTCGCGGATGACTGCTTACTTTACAGAAAGATCAGTAAAGAAGAAGACACCAATTATATCCAACAAGACCTTGATAGACTGCAGTCATGGGAAAACGATTGGTTAATGTCATTCAACCCAGATAAATGTGAAGTGCTGCGTGTGACCAACAAAAGAAAACCGATAATAAGAAACTACAACATCCATGGAAAGAATCTAGCCACAGTAAAATCAGCAAAATATCTAGGCCTTAACATCAGTAGCAACTTATCATGGAATCAACACATTGGAACAATTACAAAGAAAGCAAACAACATCACTGCATTCCTGAGACGCAACATCAGCACATGCCCTAGTACCATCAAGTCGCAGTGCTACACCACCTTAGTAAGACCAGTAGTGGAGTATGCTTCCATCATATGGGACCCAGTAACTCAGAAAAACATCTATGAACTGGAAATGGTACATAGGCGAGCAGCACGCTTCGTTACTGGGAATTATAGAACAACTAGCAGTGTGACTAGGATGCTCGAAGATCTACAGTGGCCAACACTACAAGAGCGCAGACACAAAGCAAAGGTCATCATGCTTTATCGTATTGTTCACCATCTTATTGCAATACCAACGCAAAACTACCTTGTACCAAGGGGAGCTAACTTAACAACACAGGGCCATAACATCAGGTTCCTGCTCCCTTACTCCAGAATTCAGGGTCATCAGCAGTCCTTCTTTCCATCAGCAATTACACTATGGAACAACCTACCATCTACTGCAGTCAGCGCTTCTAGCCTGGAGAGCTTCAAGGACTGCGTTGGAGCAATTTGAATGACTTAGCTCCGACAGTTGTAATTGTAAATTTCGCCATAATGGTTTTTATAGCCTTCAAATAGTTCGTTGTTTCCCCAAGGGCAAGCGCAAAAAATCACGACAATACACCAGAAGGTGGTTTGTGGTTATAAGGAAGAAGAAGAAAAAGTACTGTGTTAATCTAAATAACAATATCACAATTACAGGTAAAACCTCCATAATAACTATGAACCCGGACATAATTACCTAAGAAAAATGTTTTGTTTGAACAAACGACGCCATCTTGAATCACAGGGGCTTGTGTAGAGAAAATAAATCAGTTAAAAAAATTAGTACCTAGGAGAAAAAAACACAAGGGAGGACGCCATTTTGGATACCACCTCGCTTCATTAGCTATTTTCTCGCTTAAATTGTAAAACTAGACACATGAGCCGGTTCATATCCCTTAATAAATGTTTTTTCTTGAATGTCTTACTTGCAGTTTTAATCTTTGTTCGTCTACATTTACAGTCTTGTTCAATTTATCGCGTCAACCACAGGGGCTTGTGTAGAGAAAATAAATCAGTTAAAGAAATTAGTACCTTGGAGAAAAAACACAAAATATGTTTATTCTTGAATGTCTTACTTGCAGTTTTAATCTTTGTTCGTCTACATTTACAGTCTTGCTCA